AACCACACCTACAAAATCGTCCAACATAGTATAGACAATCGTGTATATCGTACCATGCGAAACAGGTAAATGGCTGCCTTGAGTGCCGCCCAAAGATCGTTGACTTGAAGCAAGCGCAGTACCGCCACGGCCACCATGTGCGGACTGAGCGAAAAATCGACAAAAAATGCGGTGACGACGTACGCGTCAATGACGAGCGGCGCGGTCGGATCACCGATGACGACCACGTAGCGCCACGCATGGTCTAGCGCCAAGTCGTCCCGGTGGCCACGCAGTGCCAGCGCGGTGCTCAGCTCGCTACACAAGCTGTAGTACCGGCGCCAAAGTAGCACAAGAAGAAACCCCGTTGTGCCAAGGCGCCACGTAAATTTGAACCAAACCAGCGCCGGATACGGATACTGCGTCAGCGCATACGTCAGCGTGTACATATTGTCGTCGCTCGTACTCCCAAGGTCGTTGCCTCGCGACAGCCAAATGCATTCGTGTGACAGCGGTACTGCGATGAAGCTCACGACAGCACACGTGCCGCGCTCATGCCAAGAGGAGGACGCTGTGTCTTCAGCAAAGGCATGTAGGAGCTCGAGCATCGCGACGCCGTAAAAATAACCCCCGGAAGCTCTGACAAGACCAGCGTGCTGCGGTTGTTGGCCGTCGAAATGACGTGGCGGCACACGTGAGCGTTGCGCGAGACGTCGAAATAATAGGGTGCGCCGAGCGGCAGCGTCGATCGAGTGTAGAGCGCTTGGTGCGTCGCAAGTGCCGTTTGGTTGAAGAGCGTGAGGTTGCTTAGATCGTGGGGCACGGGCAGTGCTGTTGCCCACGGCAGCGTCTCGGAGATGTACGCTTCAAACGGCTACACACCACCATATTGGAGTGTAGGAGGCGACAGTTCGAAGTACCATGGCGACGATCAAGCACGAGACAAGGACGCTGAGGGCCACAGCACCCTGGTGGTACGCCACGGCAAAGCGCGGCACAGCATCCGGCGACGGGCCGCGCTCGACACCGACCTTGGACGACGGCATTGGTAAGCGTTGAAGAGTGGTCTGGCTGTAAAGCTGACGAGGTTCTATTTCCATGCATGACGATGGTCACGTTCAGCCCTATCTTTAGCTATCTCAAGATACTAGTAGACAACTTGTCAAAAGAGCAAACGTCCTCATGGTGAACAACGCAATCCTCCACATCTCGCATCAAAACTAGATTTGGGAGGTACGCTTCCTTGAATTTCAACCAGGGTTTCGAGTTAGGGACTTGCATAATGTCGGTTATGTTGATACCAACTTTTGAGCATCTTGGCGGTCGACGAGTATGAGCGGCAGGGTGTGCAAGAGACACTATGATGTTATTGCTGATGGTATATGGATCTATTTAGAGCCGCATGCCATCGCCCTGTACGTGCACTATGATTGCTCTCCCATTTTATAAAGATAACGCGATCAAGTCGACAAGCATCCGGACAGAAAATAATGCGTCGTGCAAGACACCCTCTCTGCACCAGCAGTAGCATACAATATCTTCAATGACGATGAAAAAGCGTTTCAAACTTCAAGATGTACGAGATATACGAAGTGGTATTTTACGTCTAACATTGCAGTCTTCAATGATGACGGGGACGAACGCAGCGAACCATTGGCACATCAGCAACTTGCGCAGCAGCTTGGGCGGCTAGCGAGTTGCGGTGGGCGGCTTCCCACGAATGCTGTTCGATAGCGGCAGCAATCGTCGTTGCCAAATGCACGCGGCAATTAGGATGATCGGCCGGCGCGTCCTTGGGGTACTCAACACCGTCAGCGGCGCGATAGAGGTCGTCGCCATAGAGCGTAACAAACGGCCCATGGTTCCACGGCTGTCGCTCAACGACAAGCGGCAGCTCGGCAGCCATCGCAGCCACCTCGTCACGCAGCAAGCCACGCACACCGCCGGGCAGATACACATCATCGTACAGAGGACTGTTGCCGCAGCTCACAGCATCCGTGATCGTGACACCGCTGGCAAGGCGACGGTAGAGCAGCGCAAGCGCCGGCATTTCGCCCGCGAGATGGTCAACGTCGCCCGCTTCCACATCCCGCAACGGGTAGAGAACGAGCGTGAGGACGGTCTGGAGTGGCGGGCAGACGTCAAAGAACGTAAGCGTGTCGGCGTGGTATCTGCTGAACGACGTATTGGTAGGAACCAAAACCTCGACGATGCCGCGCGGCAAATGGCTGCAGGGGTCGTCGCGGACCCGGTGCGTTAGCTTGATCGAGAGGTCCGGTGTGCGAAAGTGGCCACCATACGTAAAGTCCACGCTTCTGATGTTTTTCAAGGGCATTCCCATCAAGGCGACGTCAAAAGCTCTTTGGAGACTCCCCATCGCCATCGAGTTGACATTGCTGTGCGCCTTGGCGATGTAGACGTCGCCGCGCGTCGTCTTGGTAATGAAAGCGGCCTCGTACGTGGCGCGGAAGACGGCCCCTCGGCTTTGATAGCTGTCGATCCAGCGGAGGAGGAGCACGTTGCGGGCAATGAGGAGGTCACCGTCGTCTTCGCCGTTGGCCTCGCGCCGCTTGAACTCGTGGATCGCAGCCAAGAGACCGGCCTCGGTGATGACGCAGGACATGGGCACGAACGTCGCGGGGGTAGTCATGCGTACGGTTTTCAGCAAGTTCAACTGTGGCTACCAAAGAGCAGCGGCAGCAAGAGAACAAGAGGACGTGGGACGGGGTGGGCTCACGATGCGACCTGATGGAAAATGACCCACGCGGTAGGCGCAGTCACGTCGCATTGTATGAGGCGACGAGACAAGCCGACAACGATGGTTTTGTCGACGGCCACTGCTTGAAAAGCGTTCCAACAACACAACCCTGACGAGGTCATCCGATTAATACAAAAAGCAAGTTCATTCGCATTCGCCATACTACGTTTATATGGGCTCCCGTGGTTGGAGTCGACATAGCTACGAGAGAAGCAAATGTTGTCTGGCTGCAGCAGCAAAAACACATCGTTGATTTCGTTTATCTCAGAACGGGCACGGACGCGACACAAGGGAGGCAACCGCCCAATAAGTGCCCGAGCAGTCGGTGCGTTGAAGTACGTTGCGCCGCGTCCCGAGCCGTCGCGTCCCACGTCCACTTGCTGCGTGTGCTTTGGTAGCCAACCACTGCCCAACGCTTCAAGAATTGAACGCATGGCTACCGCAGCGGGCCCAGCGACGTTCGCCGTGATGCGCCGCCGACCCACGGAGGCCGGCGTCATGGCTGCGATCCACGAGTTCCAGCGGCGCAAGGCCGACGGCGAAGACGGTGATCTCCTCATCGCTGAAGACGTGCTCCTCCGTCGCTGGCTGGACGGTCATTTGTCCGGCCTCGCCGTCTTCCGAGCGACGTACGATGGCGACGTCATTACTCAGACGACCCGCGGCGACATTTTTATCACCGAGGTGCCTGGTCAAGTGCACCAGCAGGTGATTATCTGTCTGAACGACGTTGTGCGCGCCGTCTTGGCAGGTACGCCGTTAAGGTGCACCGTGGGCGTGGATTACTACCATGCTGGCACCGTCCGCAGACCCGACCTCGCGATTGAACCGAGACGTGCGATCCGCGGCGACTCCCGCAGCCATTTGCCCCGCTGCATGATCGAGGTCGCCGTCACGCACGACACGTCGTTCAACAAGTACGACCGAGATACGCGCGCGCTCTTCGCCGAGTTTCCAGTGCTCCAGACGGTTCTTGTTCTCGTTCTCTACCCGCTGCGGAACGCGGCGACGCTTGACCCCAACATGAACCCCATCTTGGCGCAGATGCCCGCGCTCGCTGTGCTCTACCGTCGTCTTGGCAGCAACATTGCGATCACGGATGCCATGAGCTGCGGCAATGTTGCTCTTGATGATGACGTACGCCTTCTCGGGCACGTGGTTGTCCGCAACGAGGTCGCTGCGATGGCTGCCGAGCTGCCGCACGTCGTCGAGCTCCAGCCGTGGAACCATGGACCTTTCATTACGCTGCTCGGTGACGATCTGTACCGCGCCTCAGATGGACGTGGCCATATCATGCAAGGCTTGCTCCCCGACTACCCCGTGCATTTGGCAACGACGATCGCCGCAGCGATTCGGACTGGATACGAAGAAGCAACCCCCGCGAACGGTCTCGCCGCACAAGCTGCTGCTGTCCAAGCAGCTGCACAAGCTGCCGTGCAAGCTGCTGCCGCACCGAATGTCCGACGCCGCAACCACCGCTACAACCTCCGCCCTTGAAGAAGACTCTCTTCCAAGCGTCATCGTGGCATTTCTTGTTTTCGTTTCTCCTTTGAACGACGCTCGAGTGGAGCAATAGACGATTCCATTAACCGCTAGCCATTGGAAGTGGCGTGGCGGTTTAGAAGCGACAAAACTAAAAGCAAAAAGGACTTTCTAGCCTACTGTCGACTCTACGCGTCTATCCGGACGGCAAAACTCAACTTCCTTGCCTGGACGTGCCACTTGTGAAGCTAGCAAATGGCAATGCATAGCGTTTGTTTTTGGCAGATGTTGTCGAATGGAAGCGCCGAATGCAATTGGGCCAATAACACAAGCGCACCATTCGCACGGATGCTTGCTCCTATCGCTCGCGGCATTGCGACCCTACCCCTGATTCAAACCAGAGAATGCGTCGACTTGGCGTTTGAATGATATGCGATACTCTCGTCCGCGCCGCCTGTGGACACCGCATCACAGTGCGACCGTCGACACGCGCTTGAAGCAGCGAACTTTCGTTCGATATGAAAAGAGCTGTGGGTTTGTATCGCATACTGTAGAAGCCAGACAACAGAGTTGCGAGCAAGCGCTGGTGGTCATTTCGCATTGCGCCCCGTCCCGAGTCCGTCGCGTCCCACGTCGTCTTCTCGACCATGCTC